AAGCGTGCTTTTGCGCACAGTATGTGCCACATTCAGCGTCTGGACACACACACACACACGCACGCATTTAACCTCCCAGTGACTTCACTTGCTACGGAAATGGCTTTTCCTGTGGCGAAATACTTTTTCAGTCGGTAATGATAACTACTGACCTGTCATATGGCAGTCGTTAGTCAGTATTTTGTGGCTACGTGCATGGCGTCAATAACAGTATATCCATCTCACTCGTATGAAATAAATATAAACCCTTCCGTTCAACGGTTCATGTCCCGTCATTTGTATGATAGGAAACTTCTTGCCTGACCGAAAACCACCATAAAGGCTGCGATCTCATCACTCCTAATGATGGTCCCATAGAAGGACGGACATAATCATAATGCAACATTGAAAAGAAAACGGGGTTGCACAATTCAAATTGTTCAGACTTACCAGGCCTTGCCATAATTAAAGTAAAAGTGAAATCGCAATTTTTTAACTAGGAGTTCATCTTCAGTTTTCTCTGCAAATAAACAGTTAGGTTAATGTTCAGACTCCCGACAAAATGCAAAACACTGACGCAGTGTCGTAGTTCGACTAGTGGAATTCGCTAGATAAAACCGAATCCTCAACTACTCCTGATGGTCGACTTCACAGTAGCCGTAATATGAAGAATTCGACGACGTCCGGTATGGTGGGGTTTTGTCAAAGACCCGTTGGCACTGCAAGGACTCTGGTCACCAGTGGCAACCCTAACGGTCGTGTTGGTGGAGTAAGCCCCAAAGGCATTATGATTTTCAGATGACGCCAATCTGAAGAAGGTGCCCGAACACGGTTTTGGCGGCAACAATGCATGCGTGCGTCAGACGCCGGATACGAGAAAGCCCAGCAGAGCCAGTGGCAGGAGTGTAATAAACAGCGTGTTTCAGTGTAGTAGAGCTTTAAAGTTGGGGCGGGTGAGGCTACGATAGTTGGCATAAGTTCACGACATGGATTGTTCAGGAGGGCTCAAAGGAAGAAAAGCTCGGGAGGGTGCGATTGGTGGTCTGACCACGTGGAAGGGTCTCACGTCGGTCCATTAGATAGTCGAAAATTGGTGAGGAATTCTGTACCGAGAATGGTGTGGAGACATCAGCAACGAAGGAGATCCAAGATAAGATATGCCGGAGTTCGATGTTGGGAGAGAGGGAGTAGGTGACGAAGACGGCGATCGGGGAAGGGTTAGCAACATAATTACTGCAAATCGCATCTCTTCGGGCTTCGGAATTCAAACGATCCTGATGATAGTTAAAACTGTATTTTTGCTGATTCCTAGGCGTTTTACAGCAGAAAATGATGTTTTAATTCCTAAAATAGCGAGCTTTAATTAATGCTGATAATGGTAGCGTCAGTGCTGATCGGATGTGAAATGAGCGATGTGGTAGTCGTGTTGACATTACACCCGTCTCTGCAAATTTCCATCGACATCTATCCGTACACGGAATGTCTGTTTACAGTGTAGTTATATAGGTATAATTGGTCGTCCGAAAAAGACAGGTGAGATTAGAATGGCCATTTCGGGCTTATTAGCCAATGTCCGGCAGTTTTTGCCAACCCGAAACGCGGCACACCTGGGTCCCTAACCACGGAGCTACGAACTGATTATCCTGTCTTTTGCGATAGGGTGCATACAAAGGCTGGGGGCGCTCACCGATCGTTATATGAAAAATCCCCCGTCCCGTTGTGCATTGGGGCTCTATCGAACCTTGCGAACAGCCCCACAGCGAAGCGTGATTTAGACAGAATAACATTACCGACATAGATAACGGAGACAGGAATAGTCATTTTGGTGTCCCCTACTACTGAATATACCCGATCGAAACCTGCAAAATATCGAGCCTGCAGCTCATTAGCTAGAGGCGTCGGAATCCTAATCAACAGATCGCGAGATTAAGTCCCAGCTGTTTCACACTTGGGAGTTGGGTATAACTGGCTGACGACGGTTAGTAGGCCAGAAATGACCACTTCGGTCTCCCTTGTCCCTGTGGGAAATCCAATACCGCCTTTTAAAAGCAGGCTTTGGCAGCAAAATTTCTTACGACTAATCAATATCGCTACGGCCTACGAACTGCGACCCGTTGTTGCATAAAACAGATGACAAATTAGAAAGATACACGGTATTGAACTTCTACTGAGAATATCAATATAAAACAACGCGTTCATCGTTTACGGCACGCAGATTAGTCAATAAAATGGCAACATTAGAAAAAAAAGGGGGAATTTAACAGGTCGTAGGAATTGCGCAATTCAAAGGGCTCAGAATTTCAGAGGCAAGCTGAGGTTGACCACGTTGTCTAACTATTTACATAGGTCAAGTTTTTCTCACCGTAAGTAGGATGCCTTTAAGTTGCGCAAAATCCGAATTGTTTGTGCCTGAACTAATATTCGAAAAGATGTTTTTGGGCCCAACTGAATGACCGTCATCAAGTAGGTGTTTTGTTATAGAAGACCGTGGCATTTTATTCTCCTGCTTTAGAAGCCATTTATGCTGGTGACCAACTGACCTGGCCACAAATTGCCTTTGCGTTCGTTAAATGTGCTTGCATGCACAAGTGCCTGTTAATTTGTAAACACAACTTGACGTGGCGTGCAATGGCAGGGCATCCTTCGACCGTGGAACTTGGATAGCCTTTGTGGGGCTGCAGAATATGAGTTAAACTGAGTTATATTTTCCTTCAATGGCGCATCTCAATTGCCGCTTAAGGGTACTCGGGGATGTTGTCACCCTTAAAGGGTAAATATATTATAACATACATTTCAAAGCTGTTTGCTCCGTCAATACTGGCCGTAAAGTGTTACTGAAATGTTCAATATAGAGTGTTGGATATCTACGGTAAAGCAGGACACTTCTGAGGCAAGAAATTTTAGCATTGAACAACTTCTGCTTTCGATGCTTGCTTTGAGTTTATTCCGAGGAAATATTGCTCCAAGTTTCTCAAACAGCGCTTCCCATCAGGCAGCACTCCGTCTTTATCACATATCGCTATGCGGCGGCCGGTTGGACACGAGAGAGAGTGCCAGCACACAACGGGACGGGAGTTCCGTAGCACGACTGATGAAAAGCCATTTATCGGTGTTGGCACAATGATAGGCGTTGTGAGCTGGTGTCATTGATCCGCAGAATTCGAGTCTTACGTACTTGACGTAGCCGATTAGTCTCGCGGGTGCGTTCTCCACTGAGCCACAGATGCCGTCCTTGAGCAAAGTGCTTCCTGATATCTGGGTTGATTTGCAGATGCCTGACTGAGGTTTCCAGCGTATACCGCCAGTGAAAAGTGTGCTATCTCTGGTCTGCTACGTGACTGAAAACCCACTTAAATGACATGGTCTGTGGTGAGGTACCGGACTAGTTTACCTTTGACAATTTAACCCATTTTCATTGACCGGATTGCTTGTTTGAATGTGACGAAAAACGACACACCCGTACAACCCGCCCTGCTGGCCTGCGTTGCTCTCGCGCTCTGTTGTCAGGTTAGTTAACATTCGGAATCTCTATATTATTCACTGCTCAGATTTACTTGCTGCCTTTAAGGCGATGGACTTTTGAGATATAACTCGTGAGTTCGTGAGAACATTAATATTTTCGTCATTGGTGAATCCCACGTTAACGCAGAATGTGTACCTTTCTATGTCATACTGCATAACGGTTAACGTACTATTTTTGTGAATATATATTCGATTTACGTTTACGTTTCTCATAAATCCTGATATTTTGCCATCTCTGTCTTATTATGTCCCATTGCAACTAACAACTTGATGCCCCCGCTCAGTTTATTCATGCCATCAATTTTCCCTTGCCTGATTTCTGCCAAAAAGCTACAGAACTTTACTTCATCCACATAAAATCAGCCTTTTATTCCGCTAATATTACTATGGAGCTGGGGAACTACCACAAAGTTGTGGAGGTGTCATCTCTCAAGTTCAGTCCTTACTATATAATCCTTCTGCAGATGCTCCGTACTCCACGTTAAGGGCAGAAATTCTTTGACTTAATTCTGTGTCCGACCCACATCGGTATCACCAGTTACTTAAGAAGGATTCACTGCACAATGCGTCTGTTTGTTCGTCGACAAACTCCCTTTTCTGCCTCCACCAATTTATATGTCTTGGATACAGATATTGCTAACCCCTTTTGGCAACGGCTTCTTAGGCACCGCAACATAATTAACCCCCAGTTTAGCAGTGGTGAGGTTCAAGCTGATGGTGAACAACATATGCGCACCGCAGGTCCTCCTGTGTTTGCTCGGCCGATATGACTAGTACCGGAGTGTTTCCAGACCACGAAGGCGGAGTTTGAACACATGCTGCAGCTGGGAATGTTTCGACAATCCGAGGACCCTTGGGCGTCCACACGGCACATGGTGCCCAAGGCGACATCAGGTGGCTGAAGACCCTGTGGCGACTATCGTGCTCTCAGCAGCGCCACTTTTCCTGATCAGTACCCGGTGCCTCATCTTCAGGACTTTTCTGGAGCCCTTTTAGGCAAAGGGGTTTTCTCGAAGATTGATCTAGTGCGTGCTTTTTATCAGATTGCAGTCGCCCTGATGACATCCCTAATACCACCGTCACCACACCCTTCGGTCTCTTCGAGTTCATCCGCAAGCCGTTCGGTCTTCGTAATGCCGCCCAGACGTTCCAGAGCTTCATCGACTATGTACTACGTGGCCTACCCTTTGTGTAGCCTAAACTAATGAAATCTTGGTGGCCAGCCAGAATTAGGAAGAACACAAAGAGCTTCTTGCCTTGGTGTTTGACCACCTTGACAAGTTTGGCGTTGTCATCAACCCCTCCAAGTGAGTGTTGGGTGGGCTGTCGCTAGAGTTCCGCGGCCATCAGGTCGACTCTTAAGGTTTGCGTCCCATCCCTTCTCCTCCAAGACTGACGCAGTTCGTAATTTTCCTCCACTGACTTCCAAGCATCAGTTGCAGCGGTTTCTCGGCTTGGTAAATTTTTACCGCCTGTTCCTACCAAATTGTGCTGACCTCATGCTGCCGCTCAGCGACATGCTTTCTGGTCCCAAAGGTCCCCTCGAGCTGATTGGTGAAGCACTGGCTGCTTTTGAGAGAATCGAGAATTCCCTTGCCGATGCCGCCTTACTCACACCTCCCGCTCCCGAAGCTCAGCTGTATCTGATGGTAGATGCTTCGACCGTAGCCGTAGGTGCAATCCTTGAACAACACCTTTCTGGTTCGACTTGACCACTTGCGTTTTTCTCCAAAAAGCTCTTAGCAGCTGAGACACGCTGCAGTACCTTTGGTCGTGAACTACTTGCCGCTTACCTGGCGGTGAAGCATTTTCGGCATTTCCTTAAAGGTCGGGACTTCACTGTTTTCACTGACAACAAACCGTTGACTTCGTTCTACTTCGTTCCCACTCCGACAAGTACAATCCTTGGGAAATCGCCCACTTGGACTTCATCTCACAATTCACCACCGACATTCACCACATTGATGACACGAATAATGTGGTGGCTGATATGCTGTCTAGACCATCACTGTCTTCCCTCCAACTCCCACACGGGATCGATATTTGTGCCATGGCGGCTGAGCAACAACGAGTCCGTTGTCCTGGTGACGAGTCTATTAGTGGTCTCCAACTCTGACCGCCGGCTCTGGTACCGTACTTTGCGACGTCTCAACTCGTTTTCATCGCCCTTTCGTGCCCGCCTTGATGCGTCGAGCTGTATTTCAAACTCGGCATGGACTCTCCCACCATGGAATCCGAAGTCTTAAAGCTTCTCGCAAAAGTTTTGTCTAGCTTGGCATGAACAAGGACGTCAAAGTGTGGACCCGGTCCTTTCTGAGCTGCCAGCGCAACGAGGTGCAGCGTCACAACAAGTCCCCATCAGGCACTTTCCCCAGTCCCGACGCACGGTTCAGCCATGTGCACCTGGATGTCGTAGGCCCCTTTCCTCCATCCAGTGGTTTCACCCACCTTCTTACCTGTGTCGATCGATATACCCGCTGGGCGGAAGCTATTCCTTTGTCGAATGCGCAGGCTGAAACCATCGTGAAGGACTTCGTCAGCCGTTGGGTCGCCATGTTCACTGCCCCATCCACGGTTTCGACTGATCGTGGTGCCCAGTTTGAGTCGGCACTCTTTCAAACGCTACTCAATTTCCTTGGCTGCACACGCATTCGGACGACGGCCTAGCACCCAGCTGCCAACAGTATGATTAAGCGTTTCTATCGCCAGCTAAAGACCGCCCTGCATGCCGTAGAAGACCCAGGAAACTGGTCGAACAACCTTTCTCTTGCACTCCTCGGCATCCGAGCAGCTCTAAAGTCGGATCTGGGCTATAGCGCAGTTGAAGTGGTTTTCGGCACTACCCTCCGACTGCCAGGCGAGAAGATCACCCCAACATCTCGTGCAGCCGATAAGACTCCTGACAATCTTTTGTTCCGTTTGCGGCAATTTATGCGCTCGCTTATCCCGGTTCCACCTCGAAGTCCAATGACTGAGTCTTATGTTGAAAAAGACTTGGACAACTTTACTCATGTGTTCGTCCGGTGTGACCGTGTGCGCCAGCCGCTGGAATCCCCATACGAAGGACCGTTCCGCGTGCTCGCGCACAACGCCAAGACCTGCCGGATTCTTCGCGGTAACAAGGAGGGCGTGGTCAGTGGCGATCGGGTCAAGGCTACTGTTGCAGAGGAGCAGCCGGGCCTGTCACAAGGACAAAAATGTGCTGACCCCCTAACCCCTATTCCTCCATCTTCGCTATCGCCTGCTCATTCACCCTGCCTACTGCATCGCCCTTCCCCTGCCTTGCCCTCCACCCCTCCGTCCCACATACTTCCTCTCCCAACATGTCTAAAGCACCCAACGGCAACAGCGCCGTCCACTATATCCCGCAGTCGACTCTCTTCGACTGTACCTACTTCTCGCACCACTCGCAATGACCGTCACGTTCATTTCCCTGATCGTTTACTTACGCATTTTTTCTAGACTTATGCATATCCTCCAGCGCCGTATTCCGTCGCCCTCCTGTCTGGTAGGGGGTACTGTGATGAGATAACGTACTAATTTGCCTTTTGCAATTCGGTCCCGGTTTCTTTGCCCGGATTGCCTGTTTGAATGTGACGAAAAACAACACACCTGTACAACCCGCCTCGTTATCGTGCTCCGCTGTCGTGCTCTGTTGTCAGGTTACTTAACGTTTAAAATATCTATATTATTCACTGCTCAGTTTTTACTTGCTGCCCTTAAAGCTAGGAGCTCTTGAGATACTTCTCCTTTTTTGTCATACTGGCATTTTCCTGATTGGACAGAATTGAATGTATTTTTGTAATATAAAGTACCCTGTCCATCCGCGATATATCTGACGAATGTTTAGTGGACAAACGAGAACTTCGGATTACTATTGGCTATTTGTTGAAACAGGCTGAATGTCATGATTTCGATTCAAAAGGTTCTCGAATTGCGTTTATAACTCTACCTAGTTTGGTTTCTGGCGAAGACTGCAAAACTAAGGACCCAACGGGCAGGCTTCAATCAATGCTTTATCGGGAGACATGGACGAATAATTGTGAACGTACCAAATTAAATCATCAGGAATCTTAGATTGCGGACCACGTTCCCGAATACGCCGAAGAAGGAAAGCCCTCTTGATATCCCCTTGTTTGTTCGAGGTGGATTGTACATAATTATCAAATTCTTGTCTCTCGTCATTGCCCTGTTGATGGAGTATGGCTGCCCGTTGACACACATGATGTGCCAGCTCTTCCACCTTTACACGCGTGCTCTCTTGTTCATTGTTGGCGTATTTTTTCCCTGGAACTGACTGGATTTATTGATTGCCGTTTTTGCATACCTCAGAAGATAATTAAAAGACCAGCGGCAAATTTCACTTGTTTGGAAGAAAGGAGGAGGGGAAGGAGTACTACCAACTTCAAGTTAACACAATCACACTGGCGCCATCCTCGGTCCATACATGAAGCTGACTACAATCCGACTAATCAAGTCTCTGAGATTTATGGTGTGAAATACGTGTTCGTGTAATAGGCGCAGCGTATAAACGGCCGCCACCAGAGTAGGATGACAACACCGTCGATAAGGTAGTGTCGACGGAAAAGCAAAAGATAAAGGATTCAGGTCAATTTAACTTCCTCTTGATTGTAAATTAATACACATGAACACTTGATTCTTGTGAGGAAAACAGTGGACCTTTGTTCTTTAACATGGGCCAAATATCTTGTATGTCTGCGTTAACAGACAGAAGTTTTCCCTGACTAGTTTCTCAGACGTGAGCATCTCTGTAGTTTATGGTGTGGTCGTTCTGATTGAAAAATGCTTAAGCGTCCGTCATAGGTATGCCTGATGTGTAGCTCGGGATGCTCAAAACCACTTTTATGTCAGTCCGTTTCCTAAACATCAAATTGTTAAATTGATTGACTCGTATTCGCTGCAATTTCCTCATATGGACATGAACAGGTTTCTTTTATAAATCTTCTACAAATTAATGGATTGTTTTCTGCACATCTTTCTCTGGGCTATACATTTTTGGGTAAGATGTGGTTATGTATCTCCGCTTGATGAGCGCAATACTGTTTGAATTGGTGGTTAAGCTTAGGGTTAGGGCTTATTGTCAGGGGTTAGTGTAAGGTAGGGTACCGGACTTAATTACATTTCGCAATTTATTCCATTTTTCTTTGCCCGGATTGCCTGTTTGAATGTGACGAAAAACAACACACCCTTTTCGATGACAGCTGATTTGTGTTTCACCTTTTAAAGTCTGTCACAATAGACGGCTGCAAAGCCCCTGAAGGATCATCAAGAAACTCCTGCATAATTGGACGTTCTTGCTGGGAATTCTTTAGTGGTATGTATTTTGCGATGGTCACATTTCTATTTTTAAATGAAGAGTCAAGGGTTGCGAATATGTTTTTCTGTTTTAACGTCGTCAGAGATTGTGTATTCTCACCGTTTTAGACAGACAGTGCTCGATAATTCTAGCAATTCCATTATCAGGACAGGGGAGCATTATTCTGTACCCGAAGGACACTACGAAATCCCCTTCAGCTATAGTTGTGAAGAGCAATGTCAGCGACGTTCAAGGTACATTTTGAATTTTGCTCAATTTCTCTTTAAAAGTACGTTATTGACCAGTCTACTAAAAGAACGTTTGCAGCTTGTTGTTTCCGATGCATGTCAGGTCCATTTTCTTACTTCAACACTGAAGCGACACGAAATAATTAGTTCATACAGGACTGTTTTATTACGTCGGCACACTTTTTGATTAAGACTGACTGAAACCCAACATCCATCAAAGTATGTGTAATGTCAGTATATGACATTTTTTCTCAATGACCGGTGCCTTCCATTTTATTTATACGACTAAAAACATCGATTCTCTGACTGAATAAAAATGACCCCTTAGTGCACTTTGACGAAAGGGAATCATTAGCGCCGAATACTACTATTTCGTAAATGCAGAGTAGTAGGCTATGAATAGACTCCCAGACAACAACACATTTTTCTAGACACAGAACATTTCTTTACTAGCACACATTCGCTTTTGTCCGTTTAGCAGTCAGACATACTAGCAAGCGCATTAAGTATTGTTAGAAGCCTGATTGTTAGAGTATAGTAAAACGCTTGCTCTATGCAGCTGACTTGATATCAAGCGAGTTGGGCAATGTTGTAAAGCCTCCGCTGGACAACTCAAGATAACACCTTGTGACGCTTCTATACAACGAGGAGGTCACGGCATGTTTGACTTTTTAGACGTTAAAATTATATCTAGTTTCCTGAAACGAAGTATGCGCGTTATGAATCAAACTAACGTTGTACGTTTTCTTAATAACAAAACTGTACGTGGAAAATTAAAATTTCTCTATAATGCTAACCTGCCGTATACTGAGAGCATATTGAAAGTCCCGTACCGTAAGTATGTTATTCAAATCATCAACAGAAACCTGTTCCTCGCAAAAAGAAAAATTTTTATTTCATTATAAGTAAGCACACTATTTTGGCCAGTTAAGATAAATACTTTTTGCGATTCCCCAATACAGTGATACGAATAATACCATCGCCAGTTCGGAGGGCATAGTCTAAACTGTGCAAACAAATTAGCTACTCCAATAAACAATTTAAAATGAAGAATTGGTGGTACATATATCAAAACAGAGCATGATTTCCTTGAATAAGATTTAATATTTTGTAGCCATTTCCTGATAGGCAATTAAGGGGTCCATAGTCTTAATAGTTAAATGCTGCAAATCCTTTCGCAAATACCGTTTAAAGAAAGCAAGTTGTAAAAATTGTTGGCGTCATGAGCATACATAAAGTGTAGGCATTGACTTGTTATACCCTCGCAATTCTTGCGTGTTATATTATATATGACGTACTGACAGTCGATGAGTAACTTAGAGGAAAGATCGGCGTTATGGTGACGGGCAAATTAGAGAATGCGATCGTGGAGTTCGTACTCCATTTTTTTCGAAAAGGAGTCCGCTTTGATAATGATTACTCCAGATGAATACTTACCCGAATCAACAATACTCCACGTCCCTTTTATTGCATTGTCTGGGGCCTCCTCGTCTACGACTTCATTTACTAAATCTTCTGCCTCCCACTTGCTATCTTCATTTCTGCTCTTTCTTGCTATTTTCATTTGCGCGAGCCAGTAAACACATGCCTTCTACCCATGCAATGGCCACATGTGTCTTAAACTCTTGCTCACCCGTGACTGAACTGTTCAACATGAAACCCTATTCCTGCATTTGTATCAAAGGGCTTAAATAGATTGATTGTTCGCACCGAGACTGAATATACAGTAGATATGCTAACTCATGAAATGTCAACCAAAATTTCGAAATGCGTTCTTGTTTCGAAACGATAAATTAATTAGTGTTGTAAAACTAATCATGATGCAGGATAAATATATAATGGACCAGTTACCTCAGAGTGTCGGCTTTCGAAAGAAGTTATTTTTGGCTGCATGCAAGATGTATACTCTGCAAAAAAATGGCGTCTGAAGTTGTATGCAACTTTCTCATTGATGTTCGATGCCCTTGAAGATTCGATTATATGTCATGGAAAACATGCATTAAAATATTTATTATTTTACTTATTCGGTAGAAAATCACATTTTCTTCCAATTTCATACTCAAAAGAAGAGTATAATTCGGTTTTAAAAACCTTTTCTATTTCCGGAATAATTTTGAACCCGAGCTACTGTTAAACTTGCATTCTGCGTTTCAAATCTACAAGCTGTATATTTTCCGTGTACGGAAAACCATCCATTTCTCTACGGTGTTAAGAGGAGACCATATGAGGTTCATAAAATAAAGCAGTGGATTTGAGCAATATTGTTAAATTTACAAGCAACATTCGTAAAAGCAGATACATGACGTTTCATGAACGGCCATTTAACGGTATTTAAAAATCCAGAATTGGAAACCTCTAATGCCTGCGACTTGATATCTCCATTTGTGTTATTTATTGCTATTTTCAGTTGCGCCAGTCAGTAAGCAGATGCCTTGTGCCCACGCAATTACCGCATGTGCCTTATACTCTTGCTCGCCTGTGACTGAATTGTTACACAGGAAACCATATTCGTGTGTTTGTATCAAAGCGCTTAAATACATTGATCGTACGCAGTCTGACCGAATAAAATTTGCTTGTGTGCTCGGGAGACTTAAGTCAAGGCAATAATTCTTGGCGTGGGTGAAGAAAATGTAAAAATCAAAACTTCCTTTGTCAAACCAATAGTGATGTGCATTTTATGTCTGACTGACAAATCGTATTACTCCTATTCTGTGTATATACGCTTAAAATGTGCTTTAAATATGAAAATGCCAGCAGCACAATACGATAATATTGGCACCAGACAACATCGTACATAATGCTGTCTTACGATTCATGTTTAAACAGGCTTCTTTTAAGAGTTGTTTCATTGAATTAGGAAAACATGCAAACTTGAACCAGGTTAACAAATATCCATTTAAATCGGGCAGTAAGCGAATACTTATAAGAATGACGAATTGTTATATAAACTGCGTATTATGAAGAAGCAAATTGTTTACGGCTTAGGCATTGAACAAGTTCATTTTCTAATCAAGTGGGGCACATAAACTGTTTGTACCATAGCAACGCGCACGACATATGAATATGCTAGAGGTATTTTGTTTTTCATTGAAAAGATGGTATTGCATCGGCCATCGACAAATATTGCCAGCTGACAAGTTGGGACGCATAAACCTAGGTCAGGCATTACCCTTACATTTGATGAAGGCAATCTTCTCTCTAGACATATCATTTGCGTCAGCCGCAATCTGTCTACATCACTGGTTTACTTGCCCTATGTATTACTATGATCTATCCTTTCCAATTAAGTATTAATACATTGCCTAAGTGTATACATTAGGCACGCTGGGAAATCGTGGGCACACGCTGACTGCAACGCCAGTGTTGGCGGGGAGATTATGGAGCAGTTGCTAGACCACCAATTAGCACGTGATGAAAAGGCAGCGATTTACGGCTCGGAAGTCAACCATCAAAAACTCATTTTACAAAGTGCATCGTTCCATAATGATGCAGGGGACTATATATCAACGTGGCCACTGCATCCATCGAATACAGCAACACATTGTGCATGAACCGCTGGTTTTTGTCTCTGCCGATTGACTCGATAAGAAGCTTGAAACGTCAGACGGGCAAAGTTATCGTTTCAGCGATCGTGTCTGCTTCTTTCCAATTTTTCTATGTATGTTACTGTGAGTACGCAAGACGGATTTATTTAGGTACCAAATGAAATGGGCATTGACATACCAAATTGACCTTGATTATTATTTGTGAGGATGACGCAAAACACGATGTTAAATGTTGAGCATAACCGTGCCGATGATGGCTGCACGAGGAAATTTAACATTAGCAATATCAACCATAGGTGATGCTAAAACTTGCTGTCTTGTAGTTCTTGTGGAGACCGCGATATCGCCATTTTCCTGGCTGACAGGTCATACAATGACTAAGGCGTTTTTAAAACATTTAGAAGTTATGCTTATTGCGGCGACTGAGAGGACTCTAAACGAAAAGCAACGCAAGATGTCAATATAGAATAAAAGCATATTTTAATGGAATAATGCAGATGAATAATGCAATTCATTGCGTAATGCGACGAACTCCATCAAAGCATTGTTGTATCCTATCATAAACGGACGGCCTACTACGTAGTCGCAGAGAAGGAGAATGTGGGTTTTTTAATCAAACCGCGCGAACAGAGGACAGAGGAGAACACATACTTTTAAATCTACTAGAAATTCCAGTAAAATACGGATTGACTAAATGCTTGCCTTTTAGTCAGCTAAGTGGCATATACTGTTCATGTATAGTAAACACTGCCATTGCAACCATATTAGTCTACGGATCTAATCACATAGTGCTATTTGCATATATCGACAGCATTCAATTACAAACTTCCTGCAGTAAGGGAACAATTGAGTGCATTTGTATTTTACGCAAAAGGTCAAATAAAAGCCTCATGCATTTACATTTAAGAATATCCCAAGGCCTGTCGGAATTCGTTTTCACTGAGGTATTCGTTGATGTTTTACATAAAAGAAACCCGGCATATTGCTTAGCGAAATAACGAATGTCATTTACCTGTAAATACGGAAGTCGGTAATCAATTGATGGCGTTCTTCTCATACTATAGGTAACTGCCTACGTTAATATGGAATTCATACAACTCTAGCTTAATAATTGCTTTCTTGAATCTAGTTATGCCAATAGGAATGTGATTGACGCTGAATACCCGACTGATGTTGACACTTGCACTTCACGTACCAGTTGGTATTTAGATGAGTTGGTAGATTTTGATTTAGTAGGATACGAGGCATTGTTTTGGTAAGGGGACGCAACTCACTTAGGTTGAATACCCAGTAGAATCTTAGATGGGGGTCGGAAAAAGAGGCATATGAATAAAAAGGCTAGAGTCAAATAGGATAGCAGGACACACAATGCCACCTTGACTGGTTCCTATTTGCGAAAAGTTCAAGAGAGCGAAGAATTCTAGAGATATTGCGCCTAAACATTACCAATGTTTCATCGAAACAATATCTTAAGAACTCTGTGTAAATAACGCATACTATCCAGGTATATAGTTAATTTTCCTAATGCGTTTTGTCAATGGTCGAAAAAAGTGAACGGCGAAACAGTTTGTAATGCTGAAGGATATGCAGCAGTGCAAACAGACTTAATTTCTTCTTCCAAATCAAAAGCACCTTTGAGAATTTCATTAAACATTACGTGCAGTGGGACACTGCCTGCTTTATTGGTTTGCGGGGCACATGTCAATATGTCCTGAAACGACCAATGTGCGTGGCGTACGGGAGTTCTTCTCTACGGAAATGAAAGTAATTTAATGACCCTGACGCCAAATATGGAAATTTACAAACCAAACCAAATTCAGAAAGATTTTACGGCATCCGATTTTGCAGTAGGTGGAAAGCAGCATGCGACAAGAGCTATTGGTGAAATTGATTTTAAAATTAAACTAAAGACCAATGGTATGCACAAAAATACATGGCTGTCAGGGCTTCAGGCATCACTGACGGTTGCGACAGTAGTTATGCTGGGTACGAAATATTCTGCGCACCTTAATCTTATGGTGAGAGGAGCAAGCTCTCGGAGGGCTATTGATTAATTGACTTAAGCTTAAATTGCAAACTTATTAGGTTTGTGCCGGAGGACCATCCACGTTCAATATTTTCTAAAACGTAACATAACACCCAGTGCAATAACCCGGTATATTTCATAGTTCCTACTTCGCACAGACCTGATAATAACATAATTTCAGTCGAGAACGCAGTCTGGTTACTAACAGGTAGTATAATCGCCTTACAGGAGTGTTAGAATTAAAGTCCACATGCATTGCAACTGTTAAAAACTACATTAATGAAGGATTGTAGCCAATACGTACAGCATATCTGAAACAGGAAGACAGCCTCCCGTGTGTCCAGCGTGTTTGAAAGTGTACGTGTTTCAGCTCCCGCAATCTGACACGAAGTACGTCTGGTTGAGCAAATTTAGAACAAGCCTGTACGGCGTATGCTTGAATCGAACTGTATCAATATCGAACTCTCCCTGATACCATAATAAGTAGATGGAAAATATAATTGTACGTTGTTGGAGAATATTCGTTTTAGCAATATGCATTTTAAGTTAGCAACGTCGTAATCAAACACACTGGAGTTGCGATGTATTAATGCACTAAGTATGAGAGTTTGTTTTGTACATGTTTCAAAAATGTGATCGAAACCTATATAAGATGTCAAACTAAATTATAGTGCATGCTGAATTTCAATCAGTAGGCCGTAGAGCACAAAACAGACGCGTTTTTTCAGACGCGACACTCACGACACCCATACTATCGTACTTTTGACTAGGCATTTGCATTTCCTAAAATGGAAGCTGTTTTACAAACACATTTGTATTTGACATTAATGGGAATGGTCAGTTTGCGCATGTATTGGTTGTTTTTGTTCCTAATACCAACCATGCCTTTCATAACTAGGCATTCGGGGTGTTAAAGCTTGGACATGCTTTCAATACATTGGGACTCGAGAGCATTTTTTGCAGTTGGTAGTTCTGCAATCAAAACGGCCTCGTGAATATAGCTTAATTTGCGTTCGTAAATTGTCCATTATTCCTAGCAGCTCCACCGGTTAATTGCATTATCAGACTGCCCTAAGTACCATATAGGTGGTTTACATCACGAACTTCGTAAAGGATATCGGCCATTTAATTGTCTCAACAGTCTACATTTTCAATATTTTGGGTTGTTTCTTCACTCATTCAATGAGACGATCAAATTTAGTAATTAGGTAGTTCATTGTATGCGACTATAACACATGTTTGTCAATACTGTTTAGGGATGTGACGAATTTCTTTGCTGTTCTTTGTCAAATTGTTATAATATAATAATTAGCGGGCGCACAATCTGTACGTAATTTTGTATTGAATTGCACTTACTTTTTGCACTCTTCTGTATTGCATGCTCCACACTTATTAATGAATGTGTTGACCTTTTAAAAAACTATTTTGGCTACAGTTTACAAGTTGAGATTTCTATTCCCGAAGTGAAATTTTTTATGTGGACAAACAATTTACTTAATATCTAACCTAAAAAATGTCGTCTGAAGCAACTATTGTGTAAACTGTTGCAAATTTATCATGTTGCTTTCTTATTACGGCATATAACACGTTTTTGAGCAACATTTAAACACGCAAGGAATTAATAAAAACCTAGAACCCTGGTAAATAAATGTGTTCCATGTTGTAAAGAAGACGAACACACGGTCTTTGGGACAGTAGGTGTATAAGGCTGAGCTGTCGGTCTTGTGCAAGAGGCCATTGTCAGAGACGGTGAGATTAAGACATAAAATAATCAGTTTTTATCGTCAAACCATGAAGGGGGGGGAGATATGAGTGCAGAGCGTGGTATTCGCGATAAGTTGATTCCCACGCCGTCTCACGGTGGCGTACCTGCACCGTTGGCTGGAAATCGGGTTTCGTCTCTTGACCGCGGAAACGGAGCGCGTTATAGAAGGGGTATGTCAAAGTGCCTGCTGATAGAGTTAATGTCAGACACCCAGGCCACTAACAGTTCTTGCCCTGTCTTAGTGTAGGCCCGCGCTACTATACACGTACTCGCGAAGTTCAATTCGTGGCCTTCCTCCAGGGCGTGAGTGGCGACCTGAGACAGCGGGTCGCCTCTCCGGACCGCCCGTTTGTTCTCTGTTGTTCGTGAGCTAAGTTGTCGTCTGGTCTGTCCTGTGTAGTGGAGAGGGCAGTCGCGACATGGGATCTGATAGACGACACCCGATCGTTCTCCCACGTCTAGGCGATCCTTTACTCGCCTGATTTTGCTGCGTATGGTCGCTATCGGGCGGTGAGCGATACCCACGCCGAGCTCTCCAGCGATACGTTCCATCACTTCGGACACGTTCTTAATACATGGTAGAGGCTGCCAGAGTGTTGGCGGCTCTGCTCCGTTTGTTTTCCGTGCGCGCGTGCGGACACAGCGGCTGACGAATCTGTTCGGGTATCCATTCCTTGCCAGTTGGTCCCGGAGATACCGAAGTTCTCGTACTCGTCCCTCTCCTTCGCTGCAGTGCATTTTTAACCTTTGGGAGTGTGTCTTAACACAGCTGCGTTTATGTGCCATTGGGTGGTAACTGCGTAAGTTGAGAATCTGAGTCGTGTTAGTCGCCTTTCTGTACACCGTGGTGTTGAGTTCGTCGTTGGGTGTGCGTGTGATGAGAACGTCAAGGAAAGGCAGATGTTCGGCATGTTCTTCTGCCCTTGTGAACTGAATGTCTGGGAAGATGCTGGTCAGGAGGTCTTGAAAGTCGGCCAGTCTGCTCCTTTCAGTTATAACGAACGTGTCGTCCACGTACCGGCGCCAAGATGCAGGTTCATAGTGGTCGTAGGCGACCTCCTCCAGTTCCTCCAGGATTAGTTCTGCAACCAGGTTGGATGTCGGCGAACCCATGGGCATTTCTTTGTTCTGATCGTATGTTCTGCCATACAGAGTGATTATACAGTCTCGAAGACATTTTGTTAAAAAAATATCAAGCATCGCTTGACAATTCCAACATTCAGCCTTATACGAGAAGAAGCACAGCTTAGTACACGCTGCACCCACAAGTGTAAAACTAGTTTTCCTGCTTTTGAACGCCTAGAGTTCTGTGTTTTGCAAACCAGGGAGCCACTAATCAGCATTAATCATGTACACATTCAAACCATGCTTGCGTGACACCAGTGGCCTAACAAAACTAAACAAAAAATTTAAACTTCGTTGGTAGCACACAAGCTGCCTGGATATTCTTCAGGCAGGCAGAACTTCAAACATAACGGAAACGTTCACGTAAGCGTCGTGAACTATGTCACCACATATGCGGATTTATCCGAGTCTTTGAGGACATGAATTATTTTATTACAAAATTTCTGGAAAATCTGCTCAAAGTAAGCCATCTATGTACCGCATTTAAGTTGCCTTTACCCGGCCATTTTATTTTCATTGTTGCTAGAGTTACAAGATCGTTTGTTGCAACTACTTGTTGATCAGTGGTTCATTTTCTGCCTTCAGCAAAAGCATGCCAAGCAAATCAGTTTGCCGTCGTACTTCGACTAATGGTCACCCCATTTGATCAATGATCATTCTAATTCCCCATTTCACAGTTACTTATTTTAAAGAACCATAGGGCGGGGCAACGAACATTGACAGTGGAATAATTCCTGATAATTAGATGAGAACTGTCAACGATCTACATTAAGACAAATGCACAGATAAGATTGACGTGTCCCTGCCGATTGGATTAGGGTATCACTCGACGACAATAAATTCACAGATAAGTGCCCTGCGGGGACAACTTCATTATTGGCAGACATAAAGCAATAGCGGTAGCTGTTTAACAACGTGATGCAATTATCGGAAGTAATCTGACACCCAATGTCGTCCATCCTTATGACCCACAGGTCGCGCGAAATAATTCAAAATGTCGAACTCGATCAACAAAGAGAAATTAAGGCCAACAAGGACATGGTCATCGTATATGCCAACAGAGCTTGTTCCACCGTTGTATTGTGCAGGACATATTGCCATCAATGATCATTCTGATTTCTGATTTTACAGTTTACTACTCCAAATAACCCCCTAGAATAGGGCAACGAAGACGAACAATGGAATAATTCGTGATAATGAAATGATAACTGCAAACAGACTACATGCAGACAAATTCATTAATACAATTGCCATGCCCCTTTCAATTGGACTGGAGTACAAATTGACGACAATAAATTCATAGAAACAGAGGAGTGCCCTATGGGAGCTATTTTATCATCAGGAGTGATTTTTGCAGACTAAAGGCAATTGCAGTAGCTGTTAAAGAACGTGATGCAACCATGGAAAGTAAGCTGACACCAAGTGTCGTCCGTCCTTATGACCCACAGGTCGCGCAAAATACTCCAAAATGTCGAATAAAGAGAAATAAAGATCAAAAAGGACATGGTCATCATGCCCGCGGAAAAGGCACATTCCACCGTCGTACGGTAGAGGGCATACTACCGTTAAACTATCAAAAACCAACCGCAGGATCGTCTGTTTTATGTCCCACTCTGTAAAAACGCTAACGCGAGAAATTAATGCCACACTGTTGTCACCGGAGAACGCAGGTTCAAATACACCCAACGATCGACCAACAAGCCCAAGAGTCGACCTTGGCCTGGTTCTATGTCCACTTTAATGTGCACAGGTAGGGTGCACATTGGGTGTACGGCCTACCGTATCGCCTAAAGGCACTCCGTAGTGCGCAGTGGCGAAATGGCTTTTTCGGCATCTTATCGTTGTTACCGCTGACTCGAACCCCACGAGCTGCTCGTTTACAACTTTCTCCGATAAGCATGACGAGGTATGTTTCTTAACAAATGAGGCGTTAAAATCTTGTGACTTCACGTATTCTTAATGTCCGTCAACCAGGATTTGGCAATCAAACAGTAAAGTTACTCCCATAAAGCAAATACAATTAAACGGAGAATCGTTCTTACACATGTAAAAATCCGCCAAATTCCGAAATTATTTATCAAGACGAACTTCACGTTGAAGGAAACATCTTCGACTGGCCGAAGGAACACCAATGGTTTCGCCGTTTTCGGCATTCATCACTGACCTCGTCCTACAACGCTCACAGTCGCTAGTCTTCCGACACCGCAGACCGAGATTCTGGATTCGACATGTGGTCCATATGACAGGCGGACTAAGAATCAATTGCATAGAATCTGCGAGACAGTATCACAAGTCCCGACATCAACTCCCTACATCCGATTGGAATGTCATCAGTGCTGCCGAAGGTTGTTTCGAGACTCTCTGATTTTTTACTAACCACATTCAATTCATCCAATTTGGCAGGTGGAATTATCAATCCTTCCCAAGGATAGTGGCGCTCTTCAAGATTTCATCTGCTCTCCTTTCTTTAACTTTCACACCTGTAATGTGTGATCGCGGAACGACTGTCTATTTGGTATGTATGCAGACGGTGTTGTTGGTGGTAACTTTACCAAAAAACAAACTCATTACCAATCTATGAAGCATGTCATTGACGATGTCTCGAAATAGCTAATAGTATGTGGCCTTCTGGTGAATAATGAGAAATCAGTCTGCTGTATGCAATCCGTGGACACCATTTCCAACGGGATTTCTTCTTTCAGTTACCATGATGCTACACTGTCACCCGTTCTCTCACTTTCCATTCATTTTGGAACGCTTTGTCGCATACTCTACACCCCAGCGCTCAGTCTGGCAATTAATTATGCCGGCACTCTTCTTCTAATTCTTGATTGTTCCTTTTTTATTTTTTTCTGCTTTGGGTTTAAAAGAATACGCATTCCAAAACAGGTTCCTTGAATGCACACTTCTGTTGCTGGTATGTCCTTTTAGTCGGTTTTATCATGCAACGGCATTTCGAAATGGTATTGCTCCCGTTATCAATGCATAATTTACCATTTTGTCGTCCTTCTGTTCTTTAGCGAAATATCGCATTTTCGTCTACAATGACTTCAATAAAAAAGGAAAACAGCACCCATTCTGTGAAGCAGAAATTAGTATATAACAAACTACTCTGCTTTTTTCTTGAAAGCCAGAATGTTTTTTTCAAAATATTATGGACGTTGTCTGAATATCTCCGTAAATTCCTTAGCTGAATATTCGATAATTTTTGTCGATACTGGTATATCAGTCATGTTTCGTTCGAGCACATTCATTGGGCCCAAAAAGGCCCGAACGTTCCTCTACACGCGTCTTCAAAATTGTAATGTTCTTACATAATGGTTTTTAAAAACAACGCTTCATGTTCTGTCAGTGAAATCGCGTGTCTGTTAAACAGGTGGAATCTACTCAAGTTGTTAAGCTTATTTAAGGAATCAGTCGTTTCGTCATACTCACGCTGCGGTCCCACTGAAAACGTTTACCATATTTTAAGTCTGAAAATTTATACCAATCTGCTTATTTACTCATTTTAAATTTCAAATAATTGGTGATTACTTGTCATAATCAGATGAGCGCACTGCGGAATTGCATCGCTTATGAGAATAGTTTACGCTGAAAATGAGAATATACATATATTTTTTTAGTTTTCATGAGCGGAGACATAATTTATTTAATAAAACAATATCGAAAATAAAAGTTATTATAAGCGCTTATTAACAGACCTGTACTACAACAATAACACAAGAATTAAGCTTGCCACAATTTATTATTACCTAATCGAACGCCTGTTTGCGTATAACCTCTCAATCTTCGCGCCTTATCAAAAAGCGTTTTCGGCGTTACACCTGGCTATCACAGTCTATCGGCAGCCCAAAAAATGACTGTCGATTTCACACAGGTCGACCCTTGGAGGTAGGTATCATATGTACGCAAATCATTGCCTGTACTAAGTAGAGAGATTACCCTTAGTAGTAAGTTTAAAAAGACACGGAAAATGTCATCTATTGGAGAATCTTCACTGCAAATCAGCATCCAACAGGCGTCCGCGGCGTTGTACGTAAAAGAAACACGCACGTGTCTCGTAATATGTAAACTTAAAGTTTCCATGCAGTTTAGGTTTTGTGGCCAATGCAAAGAAATAGTCTACACAACACAGTCCAGATTCCTTAAAATCCGATAGTTCTACATGAGGTCTCGCATGTGTCTAAGAGGAACTATGTTAAGCTCATCAGGTAGGCATTTGTAAGGTAAAATATTAAGGCTTTTACAATTTCGGTCGTTTTCCTTTTAATTTTTCGTAAAAAGTGTGACCATTATTGGCCAGGGATGCCTAGTCTGGTACTCCTCTTCCAATTGCAAACGCATAAGCTCGCCGCACATATTTGCGGAGGGTCAATTACATAGGAAGGAGATGACTATGATTGTTAGTCAGTTTTTCTTATGCTTTAGGTTAAAAGGCATTTGTATTCCCAAACAGGTTGTCCGAATGCACACTTCGGTTGCTGGTATGTCCTTTCAGTTGGTATTATCATGCAACGGCATTTCAAAATGTCAGTGTTCACCTTATCAAGGATTAATTTATCATTTTGTCCTCCTTCTGTTCGTTAGCGAAATACCACATTTTCGCCTACAGTTACTTCAATTAAAAAGGAAACCAGCGCCCATTATGTGAGGCAGAGATTAGTATATAACAATCTAGTCCGCTTTTTTGCAATCTAGAATTTTTTGTTTAAAATATTATGGGCGTTGTCTGAATAGCTCCGAAAATACCTTAGCTGAATATTCGATAATTTTTGTCGATACTGCCATATCAGTCATGTTTCGTTCCAGCACATAGCTTTTGCCCAAAAAGGCCCGAACGTTTCCCTGCACGTGTCTTAAAAATTGTTATTTTCATACATAGTGGCTTTTGCAAACAACGCTTTAATTTCTGTTAATGAAATCGCACGTCTGTTAAAGATGTGGAATCCACTTAGGTGTTCAAGTTATTTTTAGGAATCCGTAATCTTGTCAAA